GTGTTCTATTTTCATTAGTTGGTCTTTAAACTGCTGAGGGTTTGCCTCAGGTGACTGGGTAAATTAAAGGGAAGAATGGAAGTAACTGCAAAGGGCCTATTGGCCCATATTTCTTGTTGCTTCTATATTGATGCAGAGTCTTGAAGTGGGTAGAATATAGTTGTGCATTAATTGGCTATTGATTGCTGGTGTTGACTTCTTGATGTGTAGTGCCTCGCAGATGTCAAGCCGCCTGCTATCACTGTATCTATCGATGATTTCTGTGTTGTTTGTTAAGACTTCTCTGGTGATGGTCTGGTTGTGGGAAGAGATTATATGTTCCTTAATGGAGCCCTGTTGCTTATGCATCGTTAATCGCCTGGAAAGAGATGTTGTTCTCTTGCCTATATACTGAGTTCTTTGAAGCTTACAGTCCCCAAGTGGGCATTTGAAGGCATAGACGACGTTGGTCTCTTTTAAAGCGTTCTGCTTTGTGTCTGGAGAGTTTCTCATGAGTAGGTTGGCCGTTTTTTTGGTTTTATAATAAATCGTCAATTGTATCTTCTGATTTTTGTCTGTAGGGATAACGTTCCTATTAACAATATCTTTCAGGACACTTTCCTCCGTTTTATGAGCTGTGGAATAGAAGTTCCTGTAAAATAGTCTAATAGGGGGTACAGGTGTTGTGTTAGTTGTCTCTTCAGAGGTTGCCTGGCGTTTCACCTTCCTTCTTTTCAATTACCATCGACAGTGAAAAGAAACATAAGAAATATGTTTGGGCGTCCTGTACATACCAGTTGCGTTGATCCTGGCAGTATTGGATCGAGTCACTTATGGGGTGTGAGTTTTCAGATGCATATAGTCCTGGGGACCATTCAGGCTTGTTCGCATTTGTGTTCCTCACGTGTGCCCCAAAGAATGAGGTGATTTGGTAAAATGCTATGCCCAAGATTACTATCCGAGTGCCGGCAGGGAAGTGGTACAAATAGCTTTGGCTATCACTTCCTTATGTCCGGTCCTGATGGTCAAGCAGATTACGGTGTCCTGTACATACCAGTTGCGTTGCTCCTGGCAGTATGGGTTCGAGTCACTTCTGGGGTGTGAGTTTTCAGTTGCATATAGGCCTGGGGACCATTCAGGCTTGTTTGCATTTGTGTTCCTCACGTGTGCCCCAAAGAATGAGGTGATTTGATAAAATGCTATGCCCAAGATTACCATCATATATATATATATATATATATATATATATATATATATATATATATATATATATATATATATATATATATATATATATATATATATATATATATATATGTGTCGTACCTAGTAGCCAGAACGCACTTCTCAGCCTACTATGCAAGGCCCGATTTGCCTAATAAGCCAAGTTTTCATGAACTAATGCTTTTTCGACTACCTAACCTACCTAACCTAACCTAACCTAACATTTTCGGCTACCTAACCTAACCTATAAAGATAGGTTAGGTTAGGTTAGGTAGGGTTGGTTAGGTTCGGTCATATATTTACGTTAATTTTAACTCCAAAAAAAAAAATTGACGTCATACATAATGAAATGGGTAGCTTTATCATTTCATAAGAAAAAAATTAGAGAAAATATATTAATTCAGGAAAACTTGGCTTATTAGGCAAATCGGGCATTGCATAGTAGGCTGAGAAGTGCTTTCTGGCTACTAGGTACGACATATATATATATATATATATATATATATATATATATATATATATATATATATATATATATATATATATATGCAGAAAATCCACAGAGAAATATGAAAGGAAGTGAACGTTTCGGCCTGTTAAAGCCTTTGTCAACACCAGACTGAAAGAAGAAAGAGGGAAGAAAGAGAGAGGATACAGGCCAACACCTGGAACCTGACCAACCCATCTCTAGGGAAAGAATTAACCAGAAACAGGTATAGCTTAGCTTAGAATGGTCAAAGAGGATTAAGCGGTCAGAGAATAAGGATGAAAGATTAAAGAATAGCCTCATGAACACGCAATATATGAATATAAAATTGTAATGAGACATGGTAAGCTTCTCTATCAGAGTTTTTTCTTAAATTGTTGTGTAATATTATAACTCAAAAATGGATCAAGTTTGTACATACCAGTACTAACATTAAGAAGATTTGGACACTGATTAGAGCAGACTCAATCAAATTCCGTTCCACGAAACCACCACAATTGGTAATGCTTTTTGCCCCATTCCAGTTAATAGTGTGATCGCATAAACTCTTGTGCAGATACAATGCGTTAGATATTTGGGCAGTTCTAATACTATAAGCATGTTGTGACAACCGTATACTATTATATACTATTATTGTATATAATAGTATAGTATATAATACTATTATAGTATTAGAACTGGCCAAATGTCTAATGCATTGTATCTGCACAAGAGTTTATGCGATCACACTATTAACTGGAATGAGGCGAAAAGCATTACCAATGTTTGTTTCCGGAAACAGGAAATATGTTTGTTTCTGGAAACAGGAAATATGTTTGTTTCTGGAAACAGGAAATATGTTTGTTTCTGGAAACAGGAAATATGTTTGTTTCTGGAAACAGGAAATATGTTTGTTTCTGGAAACAGCCCCATTTGCATGGGGCTGTTTCCATGCAAATGGAACGTTGTGTCAAATTTCAAACAAATCCGTGAAGAACTTTTGGAGATGAGCAATTTTGAACAAACAAACATTTACATTTGTATTCATATAGACTGGCTGCACCCAGCAATGCGTTGCTGTGGCTCTGCAACGCATTGTGTTGTTGAGCCACAGCAACCTTGCCCTGTCTCCCAGTCCTCCCCATCATCCCCCACTCCCCAGTCTCCTTGTCCTCCCCACCATTATCCATTCCCCTGTCCCCTCGACCCCACTATTCCCAACTCCCCCATCCCCTCGTCCTGCCCACCATTACCCCCTCCCCTGTCACCACGTCCTCCCCACCATTCCCCACTCCCGTTCCCTCGCCCGTTGCATTCCCAAATTATCTGATGTTCCCATCAGAAAATTGGGAACATCAAATGAACTGATGTTTACATCACTGAAATATAAGAAAAACAGTTAAAAAATCGAAATGAAAAAATGAATCAAATAAACTATACACACGAAATGAACGGTATGGTAAACAACACAGCTCAATTCCAACGCAATGTCACACAAAATAATTAAATCAAAATGAAAATAAATCAAAATCTATGAAAATTAAATTTTCATAGATTTTCATAGAAACATTGAAATGCAATCATAACATATTTAGTATAGCGTGTGTTGCTCCTACGTGCAACAGATGGGGTTGTTTTTTTAAAAAAAAAGCATGTTTTTACCTGTCACAGGTGTGGCATCTATACTTATATTCACAAAATGAACGGTATGATAAACAACACAGCTCAATTCCAATGCAATGTCACACAAAATAATTAAATCAAAATGAAAATAAATCGAAATCTATGAAAATTAAATTTTCAATGAAATCAGAAACATTGAAATGGAATTGTAATATATTTAGTATAGCGTGTGTTGCTATTACGTGCAACAGATGGTGCTATTTTTAAAAAAAAAAGCATGTTTTTACCTGTCACAGGTGTGGCATCTATATAGTAGGTATATAAAAACACGCGAATATTTGAATGGAACGTTGTGTCAAAATTTCAAAGCAATCAGTGAAGAACTTTCAGAGATTAGAGCATGTGTTGCTCTTATGTCCCACAGATGGTGCTTTAAAAAAAAAAGCATGTTTTTTTCCTGTCACAGGTGAGACATTTATATAGTAGGTATATAAAAACACGCGCCTATTCGAATGCAACGTTGTTTCAAAATTTCAAAGCAATCTGTAAAGAGGTTTCAAAGATTGCCCTCACATGAAAAAACATGATAAACACAGTTTAAAAAAAAATAAATTCCTGTCACAGACGTGACATCTATATAGTATGTATATAAAACCCCGCTCGGATGGGAATGGAACATTGTGTCAAAATTTCAAAACAATCTGTGAAGACCTTTCGGAGATTAGCGATTTTGAACAAAGGAACATTTACATTTGTATTGATATAGATTAGATAAGACGGGTAAATACCAGTGTGAACATTGTGATATTTCCCATGCTTCTCATGTATGGGACCTTCTGCAATTTTATCCATAGCAGTCGTTAATGATTGGCACAACAAGGATGTATATAGGAGATATCGTATGGTTCTCCCCAAATGGGATTTAATATTATATACTTTGAAATGGGATTAAATACTCAATCACGGAAAACGGACTTATTGAGGAAGATGAAGACTTGCTGGCTGATGATGTGATTGTACATTATGGATGATGGAATCCCCTTTAATCTCCTTGGGGAAAAAAATTGAAAATGGGGATAAATATGAAAATGAGATTAAATATGCCATCACAGAAAACGGACGTGTTGAGTAAAGATGAAGACTTGCTGGCTGAGGACGTCATTGAACAATAGGGATGACTGTACCTGTCCGGGTTACCGAGGTGAGCACATTTGGGGACGACTGAACGGAGCTCTTTAATACCCCTTCGGAAACTTATATATGATGAAAGGGAGAGGTCGAAAAACGATTGAAAATATTTGGAGACTATGTGGTACCATCGAATAAAAAAATCAAATACCCCATATGCTACGAGGGGCTATAGACTAAAAATTGAAAACACCCTTATGACTATGGGATCCCTCGAAAAAAAGAAAAGCGAACAAAATAGTCATAACTCTCACTACTCACCCTTAATGTGAGAAGTTCCACCTTTACTGTGGGAAGTTTCACGTTTACTGTGGGAAGTTTCACCTTTACTGTGGGAAGTTCTACCTTTACTGTGGGAAGTTTAGAATGGAAAATAATGAAAGCTTTATTTCTTTCCATTGGATGTAATTACATTTATAATACCTTGCAAAATTGTATTTAATTAATATTAGTTTTCAGAAATATATATTTTGGGCAGGTAACCTTCATGTGGCTGTTCGTTTACATTTGATTTTTCCAGAAGTTGGAGACGTCTGAGAAATGTTGGACGAAGTACAGACGTCTGAGGAACGTTGGACGAAGTACAGACGTCTGAGGAACGTTGGACAAAGTACAGACGTCTGAGAAACGTTGGACGAAGTACAGACGTCTGAGGAACGTTGGATGAAGTACAGACGTCTGAGGAAAGTTGGACGAAGTACAGACGTCTGAGGAACGTTGGACGAAGTACAGACGTCTGAGGAACGTTGGACGAAGTACAGACGTCTGAGGAACGTTGGACGAAGTACAAGGAAGCTATTGATGACCTTTCATTAGTGTAAAGTAAAACATAAGAAGTACCAATTTTATCTCTTAGGGAAAACAATTGAATTTCAAAAGGTTACTGAAAATATATAAACAACAAAATAATATATAAAATATGTATAAATTTCTAAAAGTTCAATACTGTACCACAATATAGAAGCTGGAGCGCCGTACTGAAGAAGTACGAGACAGTCGCCAGTGAACAAGCAGGAACAAACTGAACAAAAGTATTGTGAGGTGCTAATCAGTAAGTTAAGTATGCCAGTAACGCAAGACACTATCAACTGGGGCCAATTTGGCGTGGCTTTGTGTACGGAAGGACGAGATGCACTGGCTTGTGTGTTCACGTGGTTGTACCAGGGCAGCTTCCCAGTAACTGTGTCCAACATTAGCCTCTTTGATCAGGAGAAGACAATACTGCAAGATTCAACTGATGCGGCAGCTTTTGATATCACCCTGTTGTACAAGCTCCTGCGGCGTGTGTGTGGTCTGGCTGACAAGGGCCCCACGTGGACCTCTCCAGGGCCTAGCGGGCCATCGCTTGAACACCTCATTTACAAGCTGAAGACGTTCCGAGACAATGATTGGGGCCATATAAATAAGATGACTCAACAAGACCTTGAGGAAAACCTGACAGAGCTCCGTAATATACTGAAGATGATGTTGGCTAAGGCCGGCGCCCGGTGTGGGAAAGACCGCCGTGAAGTGAACCGAATGTTTAGAAACTTCACTGTGTATATTGACGAACAGCTAGAAAATATCAGAGAGCCGGTGTTTCAGTACCAAATGGGGGGCTTGACACCGCTTTCTTGGGAAGATCCCAACAGATTACGCCAGGAAGATTTTCTAGTATTACAAGAGCAAGATCTCAACCAATTGCGTTACGAATTCGCTGTGATTAAGGCAGGAAGATTAGTACTTGACACAGTGTTCAGATGGTCATACAGAGGTACCTTCCCAATACACAATTACCTCACTGAGGAATTGGGGTATACAAAAGCCCAGTTCAGGCAGACCTTTGGTAATTACGAGTGGGATATGCTTCAAGCATCTGCTGACAACACTGGTTTTGATATCATCTTATTATACAAACTACTGCAGCATGTGTGTGGTCTGGCAGATATTAATGACCCTACGTGGACCACTCCAGGACCTCTGGAGCCATCGCTTGAGCACCTCATTTATAAACTGAAGCAACACCGAAATTATGCTGTTCATGGACAACTGAGTATGACTGAGCAAGACTTCAAAACAAGACAGAAAGAACTCAAGGACTTAATGGTACAGGTGTTGACTCAAGCCGGAGGACGGTTTGGGATAACTGATAATGATGTGAGTCAGGTGATCAACTCTGTCACCGAGTATATTGATGCATCGTATACTAAGATCACAAAGCTGCTGGACCCTTAGATCTTACGGATATGGAAACCACCTCTACAATTAGATGAAGATGTTCCATAAACTTCCTTTTAATTATCATGTAACATTGTAGTTTTCTGCTCTAAGAGTCTGACCTTCCTTCCTGCTAATACTCCTGTCATTCATAGTTTAAACTTTTATTTATTTTTTTATTTATTTTTTTATTAATTTTTTATTTATTTATATACAAGAAGGCACATTGGGTTTACGAGAGTACATAGCATTGATGTTTTTACATTCTTGTAAAGTCATTAACACGCATAGCGTCTCGGGCAGGTCCTTAATCTAACACATAATTTTAAGTAGGTAATTTCTAAGAAAATTTAATAATGTTAACAGGTACATTGTAAGAAATTTGACGAAGATTAGTAAGTACTTAATAGTAAAATTTGAGGATTAACAACAGGTACATTGAATCATAATTTTAGGATTATTTCCAGGTATATTGTAGTTAAATATGCATTCAACACAACAGCCATGATATAAGATGATAGCAATGATGGCAATAGTGAAGTTGTATGGCTTAGGTACATATATTGGCGAAGTGGGTCGCACTAGATACAGTGCGAGTTTAAATTACTAGGTAGTACACTATGAGGATGAAATCAGGTACTTCTTGGTTTTATTTTTGAATAAGGCATAGGTTGGACAGCTTTTAAATTCATTAGGGAGTGAGTTCCATAGACTAGGTCTTTTTATTTGCATAAAGTGTTTACACAGATTTAGTTTGACTCTGGGGATATCAAAGAGATATTTATTTCTTGTGTGGTGATAATGGGTCCTATTACATCTGTCAAGGAAGAATTTCAGACCAGGATTTGCATTTAGGATTAAGGTTTTGTACATGTAAATGGCTCAAGAGAATGTGTGGAGTGAGTTTATGTATAGCATGTTTAGGGATTTAAACAAGGGCGTTGCAAGTGTTGTCTGAAAGCAGAGTTTGTTATTGTTCTGATAGCAGATTTGTGCTGGGTGATGATGGACTTGAGGTGGTTTGCAGTGGTAGACCCCCATGCACAGATACCATAATTATAAATAAATAAATAAATAAATGTTTATTCAGGTAAGGTACATACATACAAGAGCTTTTACAAAAATTTGATCGATTCATAGATAGAGCTAGTACATACAATGCCTAAAGCCACTATTACGCAAAGCGTTTTGGGCTGGAAAAACGTTAATGACTAAAACTTAATACTAATTGAGTATAAAGAATAAAATGTGTTGAGAACAAATAAAAATTAAAAATAGGGGGGAACATGGCTGAAAAAGCATCACAAATACAATTAGGTCGACAAACAGCGTTGTTTAAGAAAACAGATATGGGTTGACAATAGAGGGGTAAGGTAGGTCACACAGGGAATTTATTAGGTAGTACTTAGTTTTTATCTTAAACTGGTTGAGAGAGGTACAGTCTTTAACATGATTGGGAAGGTCATTCCACATTCTGGGTCCCTTGATAATTAAGATAGGGATAGATTAGTGCGTAGTATAATGAGAGGAGAACACAGTGGAGAACATAATATCTGATTTTAGAAAGTATACCGACCGTTTCTGAGACTTTCTTGGTTATGCGTTGGTTACTGTGTTTGCCTAACATCGATATTAAGTTTTAAGTACATCAGTGTCTTATGTTGATAATAATAATTTGTATTTAGGTGATAGTACATACGAAATTAGTTACAAAAAAAGAATGTTGGATTTCTTGATAGAGCAAGTATATAATATGCCTAAAGCCGCTAATACGCACAGCGTTTCAGGCAAGATGTGGGAAAACTTAAAAGTTAAGACTTAAAAATAATTGAGATCAAAATCATGAATTGAACTGAAATAAAAAAAAAAAGAATGACAATAATTACAAGATGGACGGAACAGCTGAAATTACAACAGAACAACACAAGTAATTTTAACTAAATAAACAGACAGGCTATAATTTTCTTTAAGTTTCTTCATGGCAAATATTAGCAGTTATACAAGTTGGTCATTAATCATTAATGTTTGATAATAGCAAGACATGGGCTGACATTTAGGGGGTAAGGTAGGTTACATGGAGTTTATTAGGTAGTACTTAGTTCTATTCTTAAACTGGTTGAGAGAGGTACAGTCCAGAGGTACATGGTTGGGAAGGTCATTCCACATTCTGGGTCCCTTGATTTGTAGAGCATTTCTAGTTTGACTAAGTCGTACTCTTGGAATATCAAATAGGTATTTGTTTCTGGTGTGGTGCTCATGGGTTCTGTTACAACCTTCTAGGAAGCGTTTAAGGTCAGGATTGACATTACAATTCACAGTTTTATATATAGAGAGTACATTTGAGGAAATGTGCAGTGACTGTCGAACTTACTCCCTGATGAATTAAAATAACTGTCCAACCTATGCCCTGTTCAAAAGTAAAACTGAAAAGTACATAATTTCATCCTCATAGTTTCCTACCTTGTGCTTCAAACTCACACTGTATCTTGCACTACTCACTTCCCCAATATTAGTACTTAAATTCTATTTTAAAATTATTCTACTTAAAATTATATGTACCTGTAAAAGTAAAGCTGGAAAGTACATGTAAATTTTTTTTATAAATTTTACTGTTAATTTATCTAAAAATTTTCTGTTAGTTTAAGGACTTGCCCGAAACGCTATGCATGCTAGTGGCTTTACAAGAATGTAAATTCAACTTATTTCTATATTCTCTGTTAACCCCCAATGTACCTTCTTGTATATAAATAAATAAATAAATAGATAAATAAAGACTAATTAAGTCCAGTACTTAATCTTAGCCAGTGTAATCACCTCTGTCAATTTATAGTGTTGATATAAAACCTTGCTACAATGTACTTTTTTTTATCTTATCTGATATGTTAGATTAAGGACCTGCCCGAAACACTATGCATGTTAGTGACTTTGCAAAAATGTAAAAATATCACTAATGTAATCTCACCAACCGATTGTACCTTCTTGTGAATGAAATATTATATTATATTATATTATATTATATTATATTATATTATATTATATTATATTATATTATATTATATTATTATTTAATATTTAACATATTCAAAGATTTAATTAAGGGGCCCGACTGCTGTCTTGGGCTAGAGTTTGATATTGTTGTGATAGCTGACTTGTGTTGGGTAATTAGAGGACGTAGATGATTTTAGGCAGTAGAACCTTAAGCACAGGTACTATAACTGAGATAAGCATAGATGAAAGACTAATAGAACATTACCAGGGCAGGGCGAGGTACATAATATCTGATTGTAGAAAGAATTCCAATTGTTTTAGAAACTTTTTTTGCTATATGTTGAATGTGGCCCTGGAAATTCAGCTTGTTGTCAATGAGAACACCAAGGGATAAACTTTAACCAGCGTGTCTTATTCCTGTGTGGCATTAGTATATTACAATCTTAACTTAAGGAATTACTGAATTCTTAATTTGACTAATTATCATTATCCTAGTTTATTAATTATTTGAATTTTAATTAATTTATTCTTGATCTCAACTTTATTATGTAGTCCCCGTGGTGTAGTGGTAAAGCACTCGCTCGGCGCTTTGCTAGCGCTTGGCCTGGGTTCGTATCCTGGCCAGGGAGGATTGACCGGGTGCCAGTCCTTAACCGTAGCCTCTGTTCACCCAACAGTAAAATGGGTACCTGATTGTTAAACGATTTGGCGGGTCGTATTCCGGGGAACATAGGATTAAGGACCTGCCCGAAATGCTATATGTGCTCGTGGGTGTACAGGAATGTAACAACTCTTGTATATAAATAAATAAATAAAAATAAATGTAATCTTCACTTTGTTCTGCTTTTATTAATTATATGTTTCCATTGTCCATCCTTTATCTAATTTGTATTATTACCATATGACATTAATATATTACAATTTTCTTTAATGTTAATTTGACTGATTATCTATATCCTAGTTTATTAACTATTTGAATCTCAATTCATTTATTCATGAAACCTTAATTTGATTAATATTGATAATCATTCTTGTAAATAATTATCAAAAGAAGGCACCAAGCCGGGAAGGCTATGAAGCACCGTCAGAAGTGCGGGATATTCAAAAGGCGCTAAATATGAACACATCCACAAAGGCCGTGATGAGGGTCACGGCCTTTGTGGATTTGTTTATTTGATGCATCACGCTATTGTTATTTCTGTGTGTAAGCGCTAAATACCTCTATAAATATGTCAATACGAGAACAAAAGCGCATAAGGTCAACAACATCAAAGGCCTCCGATTCACTAAGGTTACTATCGAGGGACAGATGACTGCCAGAGACGGTCTGAAAGCAAGATAAATGCACATCCTGGAAGTCGGGACATTCAACAAGGATATGCACGACTGTAAGAGGGACAATGCAGTTTGGATAATAAGGAGCAGGGCATTAAGTGACTAAAGGGAGTTAAACGTGTATGGCTAATACGTAACCTCACCTAATATGTAATTTCGCCTAATACATAATACGTAACCTTGCCTAATACGTAATACGTAACCTCACCTAATACATAATACGTAACCTAAATACTAAATACGTAACCTCGCCAGAGCCGTTTCGAACCGCCGGTCATGGTGATAGGAGGAAGGCCAATGGGGACACTTAAGAACACGCAGCTTGTTACCAGTAAGAGAAGACCAGCGATCCTGCCTACGGGCACGGCTCGAGGAATGAATAACAGGGTAGAAGTCTGAATAAGAAATACCTTTGCGAGAAATGGGACAAGTGCAGGATAGCCTCCTTCGCTGCAGCGTCCGCACGCTCATTTAAGTTAACACCAAAGAAGTTGGGAACCCAGCAAAACTCGACTGTCTTAAAACTGCTGGCGATAAGAAACTGCCAATATTGAATTGCGACGACCACAGGATGGGCAGGATTAAAGGACTCCAGAGCCATGAGGACACTGCGAGAGTCAACCACAACAACAAAGGAAGAATTACGAAAAGAAACCAGTTGACAAAGAGCAAACAAAACTGCATAAAGTTCACCCGTGAAGATGCTGCTCTCTGGAGGCAGGCGACACATATATAGGTGCAGTCAGGAAACACACCGGAGTAGACCACACTGCCAGCAGACTTAAACTCAACTGTGAAGACAGAGATCTGACCCACAAGTCAGACCTTATCAGAACTGCAGTCTCTAGTAAATCCACTGTTTATGTAAATGAATGCCTGACCAGGTTCAGACAAAATCTCTTATTTAAACAGTGTGGATTCTGCAAAAATTCCCCCTGCAAATAAACATTGTTTTGTGCAAGATGGTAAAATTATAGCTAGGAAGACGGACACTGGAAAAATCTATGTAATAACCACTGAAGCTCACCTCAATTCTTTCCTGAATGACTGTGGGATAACAGCTGAATAACCAGAATACAAATTATAGTTTCATCTAACTACCAATGTGTACTTTAGCTCTGCCTTTCCTTTCAAAAGGTTTTACTTTTATTTAATAAAAAATTGTCATCTTTGTTATTGTCTCTTTTTTGTTTTGTTTTTTTACTCTATATTTTATATACTCCATTCTCCCTTGTTACATTGTACACTGGCTCTGACTGTGTCCTCTAGTATAAACTTTATCATTCAGTGTATCTCTAATTAATC